TAAAAGGATATTATATGTTACAGGAACTAGGCTTTATTGTATATAACAGTAGAAGGAAGAGCCAGGACAAATGGGTAGAAGGAGAAAAGACTGTTCAGTGTATGGAACAACTTCTGAATTAGGACTCACTAGTTGAGTCCTGGCGTGGCGCTGTGAGTTAATGCGCCAGACTGCAAAGCCATTTGAACTACAAGCTTGGTGGTTCAAGCTCACCAGTCGCTCCTTGGAAACCCCATGCAGGGTCTCTATGGGTCGGAACCAACTCAACGGCACTTAACAACAGTAACAACAAGTTGCCTTATGGAGTGCTGGTGTAGCGCTGTGGGTTAATGAACCAGACTGCAAAGCTGTTTGAACTACAAGGTTGGCGATTTAAGCTTACCAGCTGCTCCTTGGAAACCCTAGTCAGAGTCGCTATGGATCAGAACCGACTTAACAGCACTTAATAACAACAACAAGTTGCCTTATAAGGAGCTCTAGTAGTGTAGAGGTTATGAATCAGGCTGCTAACCCTCAAGATCAGCAGTCTGAAACTACCAGCCTGTTCCACAGGAGAAAGATTGAGGCTTTCTGCTCCCATCAAGATTTATAGATAGCCTTGGAAATCCTATACAGGAATGTTATGAGTCAGAACAGACTCCACAGCACATAGCCATAATCTAGTAACCTTATAAGCATGGTGGCTCTATAGGATAAATCCTGGACTGCAAACCTCAAGGTCAGTGGTTCGAGCCCACCAGCAGTTCTGTGAGAGAAAGATAAGGCTTTCTGCTCCTGCAAAGATTTAAAGCCTCAGAACCCCTACACAGAGTCTCCCTGAGTCAGAACCAACTCCATGGTGCTTAACAGCAACAACAAGCTGACCTTCCTGGAGGTCTGTAGTAAGCTGTTGGACTAAACTCAGAGTTCCAGGGTACTACATTTGTATCTGTAATGTGCCAGCTGTAATTCTCAGACAGATGCCTTTTCCCTTATTTGCCTCTAAACAATTGCCTTAAAGTTAATAGTTTATATTTGATTTTCTAGTTGTAGTTTCTCTGTGATGCATCTGGGTATGGATTCATTTTTATTTATCTTGTTCAGAACTTGTTCTTCAATCTGCTGAGTCATGTTTTTCTTAAATTCTAAAAAATCTCGGTCATTATCACTGGTGATTTTGCCTTTACTCCTTTATCTGTGTTTCCTTCTGCTGCTCCTATTTAACTTGTGTTATTTTATTGTTATTATTAAGTGGATTGGCCAAGTGGCAGCATCGATGGACTCAAGTGTGGCAACAGTGAGGTTGGCCTAGGATCGGGCAGTGTTTCATTCTGCTGTGCATAAGGTTGCTATGAGTCGGTGCCGACTTGAATGGCACCTAACAACAAGAAGTTGGTTTCTACTCCTAGCGACCTTGTATAGATGTTCCTATTTTATTCTCCTTTTCTCTGAACTGCTCTTTAATGTTTTCCATCTCATTACTTGTGGACGGTCTGAATGATAGATATCTTCAGATATTCTTCTAGTGTACTTATTCTCTCTTTAGTGATCTCTGCTAACCGGTGCATCCATTGTTGTTGTTGTTGTTAAGTGCCATCGAGTCTCATCCATTAAGCAGTAAGTAATTTCAGTGCTCATTGTAGTACTTTTAAGAATAGAAAAAAATAGAAACAATCCAAACGCCCATCAACAGCACAATTAGGTATATTTGGTATTTAATGGAATATGATAACAGCATTGAAAATGACCAATCAAACAGTTGGTCTCTATTCACTTCCTGTAGCAATAGAGGGAGAGGAATCAAAGGAAGATATGGAAGGTGTGACTACTTGCTTCCTTGAACGACTGCCTTCTTTGTCATGAAAGCAGAAGAATTGGGTGGTGCCCTGCTACCATTATAACATTTTCATCCATAGAAGAATCCTGATCAAAATGATAGAAATACAGACTAGCACTCCAGATGTTCATGGGCTTTATGAAGCCATAGATGGTGGATAAACACCTGAAAGTATTGCCCTGAGATAGCCTTAAAACATTAAACAGAAATATCCCCTGATACCGTCTTAAAAACAAATAGTAATTTATCTAGTGTCAAAAGGTCAGCCTTGATCATTATGCTCTTTTAAGTAGTATCTGTATGGGATCAAAAAGACAATTCAAAAGCTTAGATAGGAACATTAGGGGCAGTGAGTTTATATTAATGATAGAGGAACAACTCAGAAAAAGAAGTAAGAACAGTTGCACAACTTGAAGAATGTAATCAATAACCCTAAATTAGAAATGTAGAAACTTGAATTGGTGGATGTTTTGCTTTGCATATGCTCTACACCAACAAAATATAATTTTAAAGGAAAACAAAACAAAATAATGAATGTTAGTAGTATGCAGTGACATGTGAGGAATCCCAGAAACATAATGCTGAATAAAAACTAATTATGGAAGAAAATATAATTATACTCCTTTTATATAAGTTCAAAAGCATACACTACTAAACAAGTTAGTGGTGTTAAGTGACGTTGAGTTGGTTTCAACTCATAGTGACACTGTACAGGATTTTCAAGGCTATAATTCTTTGGAGGAACAGAAAGTTGCCTCTTTCTCCCATGAAGTGGCTGGTGGGCTCAAACCACCAGCCTTATGGTTCTTAGGCCAATGCTTATCGTATGGAGCCACCACGCTCCTCAATGTGTTACTTAGAGTGATGTTGTTGTTGTTAAGTGCCATTGAGTCGATTCTGACCCATAGCAACCCTGTATAGGGTTTCCGAGAAGCAGCTGGTGAGCTTGAACCTCCGACCTTCCAGTTCAAATGGATTTGCAGTCTGGTGCATTAACCCACAGTGCCACACCAGGACTCCTACTTAGAGTGATACAGGCATTTAAAGGAGCTCTGGTAGCGTAGTGGTTACGAGTTGGACTGCCAACCTCAAGGTCAGCAGTTTGAAACTACCAGTGGTTCTGTGGGAGAAAGGTGAGGCAGTCTGCTCCCATAAAGATTTACAGCCTCAGAAACCCTGTACAGGTCACTATGAGTCAGAACCGACACCATGGTACTTAACAACAACAAGTGGGAGTCCAGGAGTCCTGATGTGGCACTGTGGGTTAATGTGCCAGACTGCAAAGCTGTTTGAAGTGCAAGGTCGGTGGTTCAGGCTCACCAGCCGCTCCTCAGAACCCTATACAGGGTCATTATGGGTCGGAACCAACTTGACAGCACTTCACAACAACAACAAAGTGGGAGTCCAGGAGTTATGATGTGGTGCTGTTGGCTAACGTATTAGACTGCAAAGTTGGTTTGAACCACAAAGTCAGTGGTTCAGGCTCACCGGTCACTCCATGGAAACCCCATATAGGATCGCTATGGGTTGGAACTGACTCAGTAGCACTTATCAACCACAACAGTGGTACAATGGGTTAAGTGTTGGGCTGCTAAATGAAAAGTTGATGGTTCAAATCCACCAACTGCTCCACAGGAGAAAGATGAAGCAGTCTGCTTCCATAAAGATTTATAGCCTCAGAAACCCTAGGGAGCGAGCAGTTCCACTTTGTCCTTTGGGGTTGCTATGCGTCAGAATTGACTTGACAGCAGTGAATTGGTTGGTTGGTATACAAACATTTTGCAGTAAAATTAATAAAGACAAGCAAGGGAATGATGAATGAAATTCAGGTTAGAGATTAATTTAGAGGGCCAAGAAATGTTGTAGGTTACATTGGGACACCCAGGAGACTTCAAATGCAATAGTAATTTTTTTTTTTTTTAATCTTAAAATGGGGTTGTTGTTGTTGTGAAGTGCCATCGAGTCGGTTCCGACCCATAGCGACCCTGTACAGGGTTTCCGAGGCTGTAAATCTTTATGGGAGCAGAAAGCCTCATCTTTCTCCCACGGAGCAGCTGGTAGTTTCGAACTGCTGACCTTGTGGTTCATAGCCCGATTCGTATGGTATATAAATGTTAATCATGCTAATTTTTATTTTTACTCTGCAAATATGCAGGGAATTAAAAAAGACTGAAAACATAATTTCAATTCCATTTTTTCCACATACATTTTTGAAGTCTCCTTGTATTTCCTAAATTTCTTTTGTTACCTACTTAATATAATGGTGGTGGTAGTTATGTGCTGTGGAGTCAGTTCCGACTTAGTGACCTTGAACAGGGTTTCCAAGTCTGTATATCTTTACGGGAACAGAAAGCCTCATCTGTCCTCCGCAGAACAGCTTGTGGTTTTTAACTGCTAACCCTGAAGTTAGCAGCCCGATTCGTATGTAACCACTACGCTACCGAAACTCCTTCCTCGAAACTCCTTCCTCAATATAATACGGACATCTTAAAGACTGCTTTTTCAGAGCAGATGAATACAATTATAGCCTAATTATCAGCACAGATAACTTCTTTGAAGAAATACATTTTTGGAGTTTAGACTTGTTCGAATAATTATTGAACTTTTATTTGTTTACAGCACTTTACATGTCATAATTTAGGTTTCAGATACTAATAAGATCACATTACTCTCTATTTATAATAGAAGATATTACTTAAAACTATTGTACTTCAAACCAATTCTAAAAATTAAACTATAGTGCCAATCTCAAGCCTGTCCTATGTTCACATCCTTATTTAGAAACAACAGTTAAGCCCTCTACTGTTTTTGTCTAGTGATTGACAAGATAGCAGTCTGTGGAGTAAGCTATCTGATTGTGCTCAGCTTGGGGTGACTGTAGGTTATTGTTCGAAAATAGGACTTCAAGCAAAGCATCTTGTATTCCTTTTGCAGAAATGTTGCTGAGGTGCTGCTGAAAGGGCCAGAGATGGAAGGATTTGGGACACATTTTGAACCTTTAAGCTGTCTGACATTGACCTCCTTTCATAATTAATAAAGAAGAAGCAGGAGCTTAGGATGTATTAACACCAATTCATTAATACACTAACCGGACAATGTTCTGCAAATAATTCTACATTGTAAAGAACTGGATTGGGACAAAATAAAATAATTTCATATTTTGTTCAGTTTATAATATGACTCAATGGAGGAAAATTTGATAAGCATGAGGGAAGATCATTCTTTTCATGTTCGTTACAGGTAAGATTGTTACTTTCTTAGTAGGTGATTTTTAAACCTTTATTTAAACATGTATTTAATACTAATCATTTCAAATTTAAATTAGAAAATATTCAAAGTATCTTAGCCTTAGTACCTTCTGTTAACAATATTTTCTTTTTATTGTGGTTGTTGTAATGTTTTTTTACTTTTTCTATAGGAAAATGGTAGAAAAGACCAATTATATAGTATGGTTTGTTTATTCATGTCCTCTGGAAGAATTTTTATGAAATGTTCCTTTATATTTTATGGCTATGCATGCATTACAGATGTTAAAAGTGAAATACTAGTTCAAAGTCTTTGGGGATAAAGGTGTGGTTAGCTGAATAACCTAACTTTTATATTTTAAGTTTTAAATGGTAATGTGTTTTAAGTGAACTTTTTAATGAATGGATATTAAGTAAAGTTGAAATGAGTAGGTACTTTCTAAACACTAGCCTATAGCCAGTTAAATAATGAAAGACAATTATTTGTAAGATGATTAGATACTAATAGAGTACTTATCAAAACTATTGTAAGTTAATTATTAAATAAACAGAATTTTGTAGCAATGAATAGAATTCTCTTATTAAAGCAGGTGTGTTTGCTGCCAAATCTTAGACATCTTAACACATGTTTAGGAAATAGTGAGGAGATTTATCATAGGGCTTTTACCAAGGAAGGTGATAATAGATAAGATGAGGGCATTTCTATTAAAATTTTTAAGTTTCAAATCAAAGAAAATGAAGACATTCAACATAATTAAAGTAAAATTTTTATATATGAATTATCATCACCCCTGTTTCCTCCCAAGTATTTCTCAGATCCATCTTCTCATCTGGATCCTCCCCACTACCACCGTGTTTCAGGTCCCCATCATGTTCCCTCCAGACTGTTGCAGCAGCTACTTTAGTACCACCATTCTCCACTCTAACTCTCTTTTAAATTTGTTAAAATTAGGCTGAGTCTAAAACACAGAGCTAATCATGTAACCTTTCTATAGTCAAGTCTTAACATAGCTCATAAGATCTTACCTTATTTAGGTTCTACCTATTCTTTCAAATTCTTGCCATTCATTACCTTGTAATTTGAGCTTTGGTTCCTTGCACATGCCATATTATGCATTCCCATGCTCTGAATGCTTGACTTAGCTAATTCTACTCAACAGTTGGTGGTGATGCAGCTGAAAAATTTTATTCTCCTGAAAACCATTTTAAAACTTTAAAATTTGGCTAATGTAGTCTCTTTGTACTCACATAGCATCCTGTGCATACATCTTTTTAGCACTTCCAAGAGATCTTCAAAAATCTGTGGGAAAATAGAATGAAAAGATGAAAATAAACTTCATCTCTTGTGGATGTTGTTGTTCGGTGTCATCGAGTTGGTACTGACTCATATAGCGACCTTATGCACAGCAGAACGAAATACTGCCTGATCCTGGGCCAACCTCACTCCTGTTGCTACGCTTGGGTCCATCAATGCTGCCATTTGGCCAATCCATCTCCTTGGGGGTCTTCCTCTTTTTCTCTGACCCTCTCCACTGTACCAAACATGATATCCTTCTCCAGTGACTGGTCTCTCCTGACAATATGTCCAATATGAGAGACGAAGTTTGGCCATCTTGGCCTCCAAGGAGCACTCTGGTTGCACTTCTTCCAAAACAGATCTGTTGGTTCTTTTGGCAGCCCATGGCACTTTGAATATTCTCCTCCAACACCACAACTCAAAAGCATCAATTCTTCCACAGTCTTCCTAATTCACGGTCCAGGTATCACATGCATATAAGGTTATTGAAAATACCGTGGCTTTGGTCAGGCGCACCTTAGTCCTCAAGCTGACATCTTTGCTCTTCAACACTTTAAAAAGGTCTTGTGCAGCAGATTTGCCTAATGTAATACGTCGTCTGATTTCTTGACTGCTGCTTCCATGAGTGTTGATAGTTGATCAAAGAAGATGAAATCCTTGACAACTTCAGTCTTTTCTCTGTTGATAAGAATGTTGTTTATTGGTCCAGTGGTGAGGATTTTTGTTTTCTTTACATTGAGATGTAATCCATACTGAAGACTAAGCTCTTTGATCTTTATCGGTAAATGTTTTAAGTCCTCTTCACTTTCAAACTGACAGACCACCACTTGTCTGTCAGTTTGTTGTATTGTGGTGGCTTGTGAGTTGCTGTGATTCTGAAAGTTATGCCACTGGTATTTAAATACCAGCACGGTCACCCATGGTGGACAGGTTTCAGATGAGCTTCCAGTCGAAGACAGACTAGGAAGAAAGAGTGACGAACTACTTCCGAATATTTAGTCACTGAAAACCTTATAAATTCATTTCTTAGCATAAGCCAAATCAGGACTGTAAGGTGGATGGATGCCTGAAGATTTCTCATCAGCTCTGGCCTTGTTTGATGAGAGGAATGAACAGGAACATTGTTGTGGTGGATAAGGACTATCTGGTGATGCATTCCTGGACATTTTTCTGCTAAAGCGTTGGCTAAATTTCTCAGAACACTCACGTAATAAGCAGATGTCATCATTCTTTGTCCTTCAGAAAGTAGACAAGCTAAACATTTCTAACAGCCCTCAAAACTGTTGCCATGACCTTTGCTCTTGACTGGACCACTTCTGCCTCTTGGTAGTCATTGCTTTGATTGTGCTTTGTCTTCAGGATCATACCAGTAAAGCTGTCTTTCATCTTCTAGTACACTTACTATAAGAAATGTTTCAGGATCTTCATCCTACTTGTTTAAAATTTCCATAGAAAATTTGCTCTTGTCTGTAGCTGATCTGGGTGCAACCATCAAGTTTGCTCAACTTTAATTTTTCAGTCAGAATTGTGTAAGTGTAACCAATTGAGATATCTGTGGAGTTAGTTATTGTTTCTGGTGTTCATCGTCCATCCTCTTCGGTTAGGGCACAGACAAAATGAACTGTATCCTCTCAAATTGATGTGGATGCCTGCCTCTGTGGCCTTCATCTTCAGCATCGTCTCATCCTTTCATAAGATGAGGTATCCATTTGTAATCTACTCATTTCTTTGGGGCATTATTGTCCCCCTCAGCATTTCATAAAGTATCAGTGATTTGACCATTCTTTCACTCAAGCTTTGCCATGAATTTGTTGTTTATTACTTCAGTTTTAACAGAATTCATGTTATTCTGATAGGGGCTCTTTTCAGTCTGTTGTCTTATTCTTCTTAGTGCCTCGACTAGATCCTGTTCAGATATGCTCTAACAACTTGTTGTTGTTAAGTGCCGTCGAGTCGATTTTTAACCCATAGTGACCCTGTATAGGGTTTCCAAGGAGCAGCTGGTGAGCTTGAACCACCAACTTTGCAGTTCAAACAATTTGCAATCTGATGCATTAGCCTACAGCACCACACCAGGACTCCTATAACAACTTAGTACAAGTTTATTTTGGGGCAAAAAAAAATTGAAATCCATGCGTAAGTTTTTAATAATACACATTTTCCATGAACAAGACTGTCTCTTTCTCCATTACCTTTCCCTTCTTTGATCGTTACCACTGTTAGGGTAGCCATGATACGAGTATTTTCTTTGGCACACAGTCCACATTTGAGACAATGTCTGTTGAACTTCATTGGACATAAACATAACAATCAAGTGAACATAATGAGGTGTTTGTCTTGCTGAACACTTTGGAGTGCTTTGATTCCTAATACAGTAAGAGCAGTGGATAAAGAGGACTGTTTGTACCTCTGCCTGTGGGAAGATCTTCAATTTGTGCTTTTTTTCCCATGACACACTGTAGGTCAAGC